CACACCTGACACGCCCACACCTCATGCCCTATAGCCAAAGTTATCAATTTTTCTTCGAACCCTTGAATTTGAGAGAAACCTACAGATACCACAAAACCAAGAGCTGACTTCAAAAATCGATAAATTTTTACTCCAAAGTCCAAATTGAGTGAAATTTATGTCATTCGAAAGATCCCTTAGTTAGCTTTCCAGGAGGCCCAAAATCCATAATTTTAAATCTGTGGATTAGAAGTTATCAAGTTTTTTGTAAACAATATTATTTTTGTTTAAATTGGGCTCATTTATTAAAAAGTTTATATTTTGTTAATTAAACCCTATTCACCCCCCTCTAGGGTTGCCATACCGATCCAACATTGGGGATGTTCATCCGAAGACTGACTGGAGGATCAAACTAGTTTTGTATGGTGTTAGATACATACCAAGTTTTAAAATGAATTTGATATCAACAAGGAAGCTTGATGACGAAGGCTATAGAAATTTGATGCAGAAATTGTTACAGATGATACCAATTGTTAATGCATAAATTTGGCATATTAAGATTACCAAATTCGCACAAATCTTCTAGAAGAAAAGGGATCGACGAAAGCTGCAAAGTAAAAAGGATTACACATGCTTAAGTTAGAATTGGAGATTTATGTGAATCATAGGAAAGAATAGAGTTTTGTACTCCCATCAATTATGAATATTTTCCTTCTATTTATAGAGGGAGAACCTAAAGTCTAGATAACTTATAAGAAATATCGTATTTTTAATAAAAGAAATATCTTCTCTTGAGAATCTTGGAAATTTCTTAAATAAATGGAATTAAAATATTATAAAATATGGATTTTTTCTATACACACCAATAGAACAATAGATATTATGCGGGAATTTTTCTTTTACAAGAAATTATGCACATTTTTTTCACATAAGAAAATTTTCTTTTAAGCATAAAAAAAAAGTTTGCTCTAACAGAGATATTTATTCTTTTATAATAATTATGAGCATTTTTCAATTTATATCAATTTGGTCTAATATGACCTAACTCTACAATTATGATAAATACGCAAAAATTTAGATTTATACTTTGATACATTTGCTTTAGGCACGATATTAGGCCAAACATTATTATGCACACTAGAAAATGCTTAACAAAAATGAGGCAAAACATTATTATGCACATAGGGGGCTTTTTCAAGATTTACACTCTATGTCCACTTCCCCAGTTCAAAAGGTCATTAAGTATATATTTGCAATTTCTTCATCTAGGGTGCTACTCTCATGGTAGTCATCCTATGTCTAAGCATGTGCCAAAAAAAAAAGTAAGTCTAAAAGCCTTTTCTTTTTTATTTCTTTGAAGAAGACTTAAATAGAGGACAATTGTACTTCACTTGCCTCTTTTCTCCTTTTGACTTTTGATTAGAGCTTCTCCTTGTGAAATGCTTCTTTTCAAAATGATTTTTGAATTTCCTATTGAGATAGACAAGTTCTTCCTCGTTGAACTCAAACTCATCATCAAACTCCACTTCGGTGGATGTGGACTTCAAAGAAATGTCTTTCTTCTTATTGGACACGTCTTCTAAGTGCTCCTTTACAGTGATCTCATGAATCATGAGTAAGCCAATAAGATCTTCCAATAAAAGTTTGGTGATATCCTTCGTTTCTTGGATTTCCACTACTTTTGCTTCCCAATTATTAGGTAGAGACCTAAGAATTTTCGTAACATTTTCATTGTATAATCTTTATCAAGACACTTCAAGGCATATATAATGTTAGTAAATCGACTAAACATATTGATAATTAACTTCTTAGCATCAATCTCAAATAATTCATAATTATGAACATGATTCTAATTTTAGACTCTTTAATTGGATTTGTTCCTTCATGAGTAACTTCAAGAATTTTCGAAATTTCTTTAGCGGAAACAAACATAAATATTCTATTGAATTCATTTTTACTTAAAGCACAATATAAATTATTGTTAGCTTTAACATTAAAATAATACTTTTTCATTTCATTTTCATCATACTCCTCTTCTAATTTAGGCACAAAAACATCATTTATTTTTTTCATGGGAATATAAAGGACCTTTAGCAACAATTAACCATAAATTATAGTCAATAGATTGTAAATAGATTTTCATTCGAGCTTTCCAATATGTATAATTTGAGTCATCAAAGAAAGGAGGTTTAGAAGGAGATTGACCCATCAATTTCATTCACCAAAAAGTTTGTCATAATGCTCTAACAATTAAACTTCTAAAAAATTCAAAAATAATTTTCAATGATAATTTAAAAATTTTAAAAATAATTTTCAGCAGAATATTGGATATAAAATTTTCAAAGTAGAGGAAAACAACCAATTTTTTGGATCAATATGGAAACACTACATAAAGGAGTGTCAATAGGGCTGAAGATCAATGTCCTAAATTTTTTCGATTTCAACCTAGCTAAAATCAAATAACTAATTATACTTTTTATGCCAAAACAATTAATGCATAATTTATAGCAATGAGAATACTATAAATTTAATTCATGCATTAAATAATCAAAGATAATCATAAATGTCAAAGTGCATAGCTCAACGGTAATTGACATATATCTTCAACCACAAGATTTTGAGTTTAATCCCCCACCTCCCCCATGTTGTATAAAAAAAAAAACAAACAAACAATCATAAATCATAAATATTCAAGATGATTGCAATAATTTTTCTCTAACTAAAATCAACCATTCAATTCGAGCATATTTACAGCACTTCGGCTAACCTTCGGCCTACTCCACTCTTGGAGCACTCCTTTGCGAGATTTCTACTAAATATGATCCTTTTACAGGTTCAAGATCGCAAATCCAATCTTAAAAGAATCCAGACCAAACCATACAAATCGCTTTTTTACGGGATCTAAAACTAAGCTCCACATTTTTTATGGGACAAAATCAAAGCCTATGCTACGTTCTTTTTATCGTGCTAATAAATGATCGCAACTGAGTATGAAAAAAAGATATTCACACAATAAAACTCTCTAAAGAAAATTAGATAAGAAGACGAAACCTCACAAAAATTAAAGGCTCTCAATTAGGCTAATTAAAAAGTCTCAAGACTACGTCGAAACTCAAGAAAAAATATTCAAAATACCTCAAAAGAATGTCCAGCTCATGCATCAAATTCTCATAGCTTTTCTCTAATTTTTGTTTAGCACTTTTTCGAGATTAAATAGAGGAAGAAGAGGAAAGAGCCGTTAGTGCCGTTGGTGTCAAATATTTGAAAATTTGAAATTATTAATAAATAATAATTTAAAAGTTATCTAAAAATCAGCTACTAAAAAGAAGCCACGTGTGTGTACCTAGGAGAGAGTAAATGGTTGCCAACTGCAATAAGTAGTGGGCCAATTTGTAATTTCAAACAAAGGGACAAAGAACTTTTCAAGACGCGAGTGGGCTTCCAAAATCTGACCGTTGGAGAATTTTCTAATTCTTTAATTTCTGAATTTTCCTTATATGTCACTTGTCAAGATCTCAGCCATTTAACTGGTTAATTAATTTCGTCCGTTAAATACATGAAAATCACGAAAGCTCAAATAAACTCACAACACGAAATTATTTCCTTCAACAAATCTCAGCCATTGTTTTACCTGATTTACTGGTCGACCATTCTTTTATAACTGAGCTCACAAAAATAAAATATAAACGGCACATGCGATCTGGTAAATACCCAAAATTAATACAACCTTATTTTCATCCAAACTTCCTTACTTTAAGTTAATTGACACTTATTTTGCTGTACTTGTAATTTTAAGCAATACCACGACAACACTAAAATACCTTTTTTTTTTTTTAGTAAAACATGTTGGGAAGGGAATTTGAACTTAAAATCTCTTGGTCGAATATAAATGTCAATTACTGAACTATGTTAGTTTGACACTAAATACTAAAATTAATTACTAATAAGTATTTGTTTTCATCCCAACATTATTAATTAAAATTAATTAATCAACATTAAAGATAAAAACGGCAGTACATGCATCCGTAAAATTCAACAACCAGGTGAATCACATACATAGCGGAACTTGTAATAACCAATTATCTAACCCAAGACATGATGTTATAGAAAATTAATTAACTTGTTAAAAATGCTACTATACTAAAATAAAAAAAAATGTTTAAATTATATTTTGGTCTCTAAATTTTAAGTTTTGGTTCATTTTAGTTTATGAATTTTAAATATTTATTTTAGGACTCGTTCGAAATCTATTTTTGTTTTTGATTTTTGGTTTTCTTTTTTAAAAAATAAAAACTGTTTGTGTTGATGCTGAGATTCTGGTAGACCGATCCTCTCCGATCCGCGCACGAACTCGAATACTTTGGGACAAAATACCTGCAAAATCGAATAAATCCCTAACCCGGTGTGACTTCAGTCACACTGGCTCCGATGCCTAAATTAGCAAAAGGAGAGATCACTAAACAAGTAAGACACTTAAAAGTGTAGTTCTTGCTTAACTTCAAGGGGTGACCTCCTCCCTATTTATAGTCGATTTGCCCCCCTAGAGTTTCTCAAGACGTCAACCCTAGGATTGATATTTGTGGGCTTTGGGCCGGGATGCCTCCAGAATTGGTAGAGGAATGGAGACAGGGCTCGACTTTGGGGCCCGAACGCCATACACTTGAAACAGGGACCGAGAGGAAAAAAGGAGAGCGCCGAAGGCCTTCTCGACCTAAGGCCGAGAAGGGGTCAGTGCCTCGACGCTGAGGTGGGTCGTCCCTTTGGTGGGCCGACCTCCGTGCCTTGGGCCGGCTCTGCTTGTCGATGGTCCCAGTTGTCCTTCCTGATGTAGTCCAATCTTCTACCATATTGCTCCATACATAACAGTAGCCCCCACTCTCAAAACTGAATATGAAATTTGTGATCACGATAAGATTCATGTTTTGAGAGTATTCGTTATCCGTGGTTGCTACAACGCTTGTTTTTTTAAAGTAGTTCATATGTGTCATTAGTACCGAATTCTTAGCTGACGCCAAGGTTCCTAATTTACTGAGCTTCTACCGAAAACTTTTATATCCAGCTTTCATATTTAAAAGCCTGGTTTTTTGTTACTAGTTGTGTACCAACACCGAGTTGTCTCATGAATTGGAAGTTTTTCCGATTTTCATATTTTGTTGAATTGCCTGGTTATAATCAAGTTTCCATGGCCTGGTTTCTTACCCATCTAGTTTTCACCATTCCTTTTCGGCCTTGGGATCTAACTTTTGTAGAGCTAGTGTTGAAGTCTTTGGATTTCCAACCTGTTTGGCATTCGCCAAATGGTTTTATATCCTGACCCTATTCACCTGCCTTTGTTTTGACCATGATGAGCCTTTTCTGGCTTGCTTCTTAGTCTGTCCCCTCTTGAGTTTCTTGACCGGTGTAGACATTTACGTACAATGCCCCCTACTTGAGAAAGTTGTTTTCACATAAACATAAGAGCTCAAGTATCATGTTAAATGGCGTAAACTTTCATTAAAATGAAATTGTTCTAATATAATAAAATAACCAGTCGTTTGACATAAACAAGTGCAACAATCGCTCATAAAATAAATGGAATGCATCACCAAACTAATGGTAGTATTTCTTGAGATGTTGTGCATGCCATAGATGAGGTAGGATTTTTCCATGTGAATCTTCCAGGGCGTAGGTGCTTGTCCGAACCACTTTGGTGACCTTGTATGAGCCTTCCCATGTCGGTCCGAGATCCCCACTGGTCGGGTCTTTGGTATTACGCGTGACTTTCCTTAAGACCAAGTCATCTTCTTTGAAGCTGCGCTTTTTGACTTTTGAGTCGTAATATCAAACAATTCGATTTTTGTACTCGGTTGTTCGTAGACGTGCTACCTCTCGATGTTCTTTTAGTAGATCGAAGTTAAGTTGTATAGACTCGTCGTTTTCAGGTAGACTGAATCGTTTTGTTTCCACTGGCACTATTGCCTCAGAACCAAACGACAATGAAAATGGTGTTTCACCAGTTGATGTGTAGGGTGTTGTTCTGTAGACCCATAGTGCACTGAGAAGTTCTTCTGCCCACTGCCGCTTAAGCTTCTATAATCTATTTTTTAAAGTTCTTTTGATGATTTTGTTAACTGCTTTGACCTGGCTGTTAGCTTGCGGGTGTGCTGGCGAAGAGTAAATGTGCTTGATACCCAACTCTCGGCAAAAGTCCTGAAAAGCTGCATTGTTGAATTGTTTTCCATTATCATTGATAATGGTGTAGGGTATCCCAAAGCGGCAGATTATGCTTCTCCAAATAAAGTCGGTGATCTTCTTCTCGGTGATTGTCGCTAGGGCTTTAGCCTTAGCCCATTCAGTGAAATAATGAACTGCTACCACTACAAACTTGGTCTGCCTTCTCCTTGTGGGAGGGGCCATATGAAGCCTATTCCCCATTGGGCAAATGGCCAGGGACTTATTATGTTGGTTAATGGCTCTGGCGGCTGCCTAGGCACTATTGCGAACCGCTGACATTTGTCCATTTCCAGGTGAACTGTGTTGCATCGCTTAGGATGGTTGGTCGATAATACCCCTATCGAATGATTTTGTGGCTCCGGGATCGTGCCCTAGAATGGTTACCACAAACGCCTTTGTGTATCTCCCTTATAACATAGTCGACTTCTTCTGGTGGTAAACATTTTAAAAGTGGCAAAGAGTAGCTTCTCTTATACAGGCTTCCATCTCTAAGCACATACCTAGCTGCTCGCCATTGGAGTTGTTGGGCCTCTATCCTTTCATCAGGCAGGGTCTCATCTTTTAAATACTCGATCAAAGGATTCATCTAGTTCTTCTCAGGTTGACCTGGTTCGTCTATATCCATCACCTCATGGACCTCTATACTCGGCTCGGGTAAAATTTCTACTAATACAGTTCTTCCCAGGTCGGTTTCATAGGCTGCCGCTAGCCGTGCTAATGCATCTGCGTTGACATTCTGAGTACTTGGAAATTGCCGGATCTCGTATTTCTAGAATTGACCGAGCTGGCCTCTTACCCGGGAAAGGTACCTCGCCATCCGTGGTTCTCTGGTTTGGAATTCCTCTTTCACCTGACTCACAATCAACTGTGAATCACTAAGTATTAATATGTTCGTGACTCCGATATAACTGGCTACTCTCAATCCCTCTAGTAGAGCTTCATACTCAACCTCGTTGTTGGAGGCGTGAAAACTAAATCGCAACGCATATTCGAACCTCTCCCTATCTGGAAAAACTAATAGAAGTCCCGCCCCGTAGCCGCTGAAGTTTGAGGACCCATCTACGTACAAGGTCCAGGGCCGCTTTGCTTCATCAACATGTGGAGCGATGCTACATACTTGATGTTCTACCGGTGTTAATTCTGCTATGAAGTGTGCTACGACTTGACCCTTCATTGGAGTTCTCGGTTTGTAGTGGATGTCGTATTTGCTGAGCTCCATAACCCATTTTACCAGTCGACAAGAAGTTTTGGGCCTTTGCAGAATCTGCCGTAGAGGGAAGTTGGTGAGGACGGTTATCTTGTGGGCTTGGAAATATGGGCGTAATCTCTGAGCCGAGGTAATTAATGCCAAATGCCAGCTTTTCCACTTGAGGGTATTTAACTTTTGCATCCACCATTGCTTTGCTCGTGTAGTAGATTGGAGACTATCACCCGTTTTCCTCCTTTAAAAACGTCGAACTCACCGCGGTATCTGACTGGGAGTTTATGCTGAACGCACGCGCTAAGCGTGGTAACAATTATATAGATGCAAGCGCACACCTGTCAGAGTAATGTAAAATGGATGGAGTATCCAAGTATCGATCCTCAAGGACTTCTAAACAATTTCCAAACTCTAAAGTTTTAAAGAATAGTGAATGTTGGAATGAGTGATTCTTGTAAAATGGGAAGTGGTCACAAATAATGGTTTGGATTTGGGATTTGGACTTAGAATGATAAAACCTAGCCCGAATTACTTCAAGTTAGCCAACAAAGAATCAAGGACATGCTAAGGATAATATGCATTTTACTTTAGAAACTAACGACTACGCTTCTCACTTTACTTATGTCTAAGCAAGTTCAAAGTCCTAAGACATTCCCTAATATGTCTATTATGAGATATATCTTAGTTTTAGGATGGAAATAGTCGCAACCTCGGGTTAAGGTCCTATGTCTAGGCTACTTAAGCGGAACCC